GGCGCAAGTACACACACATAAAACAATGGTCTTTTCTCCACATGAACGTGAAACAAAGGTGAAGTATTAAAGTTTGAAACTAATTTACATTTTTAAGGAATCCGAACTGGCTTTAAAAAAAAAAAGGGAAAAACATTTATTGCACGTGCATGAGTTTTTTTTTAGTAACAAGAGCTCATTAAAAATATAGGGGACACAGTTTGTGACAAGCCCGAGTAAAGACCACGTGGTTTAAACACTAAAGTTTGAAATGGATCCTTTTAGGAAAAATCTCTCAAAGCTTTGCATGTTCTGCAGGCTCTGAAAGTTGCAACTATAAAATAGCTCATGAGACAATTGTAATTGGACATGGAAAAATATAACAAAGTTAAAATTACAGGCCTCTTGTGTATGTTATATGTTTGTGTATGTTATATGTTTGTGTATGTTATATGTTTGTGCGTCATGTCCAATACACTACGTTGACCTTAACAAACTGGACCAATACTAACGTGGGGTGTTGTGAGTGTGTTGTGGAGTGAACGAGGAGTGCTGAACGGAATCATGGAATAACAAAGTTTTCTGTAATGTTTTAATGTGATCATGGAATAATTATTTTTTGTCAACAGCATACGGTGTAAGTACTAGAGATTCAAAGATGACAAGCTTTATTGAACAGGTGTAAAAGTGAGAGTACTCTGGGATGAGTACTCTGAGAAAAGTACTCTGCGGAAAGTACTCTGAGATGAAATACCTCGCTGAAGGTACTGGGAGCCCCTCCCTCTGCTGTTTGTCCGGACAGTGATTCGGTCCAACCGCAGTGAGCGGTCATTGGGAGGAGGACAACTTTGGTTTGTAACTCACATTTAGGGGAGTGTAAAATTAGAAACATACATTTTGTTAAGTCTGTATTTGGCTACAGCCTCTGCCCTGATGCCACACACCGTCTGTCAATGCAGTTATGTTTTGCCCAATTGGATTGATTGACAGGCCGCACCATGCGAAGAGAGGAAAGTGGGCGTTTCTTGTGTTCTAATGTTTGTTTTTCAGATGAAAGATAAACTGCACCTGCTTCAGGGATAACACAGTAGTATGGATCATGAGGAAAATGAGCCTCTACTTTGGCACCAAAGCCCACAATATGAATTGAGGACGATCCGGGAGGAGCAACAGGATTGGAACAGTAATCTACACACACATACAGATGCATGTTTTATACTTTGGACCACGACCAACAGAGGGGAGTATTGTATTGTCATAGGTGGTCATGGTCCTTAACCTTCTAAATCATTAGAAAGAAGTGTAAAACATATATTTACAAGAACAAATAAATAATAGAAAGGGCAGCCTAAAAAAGCAAAATGGGAAAATTATTAAGTAATTTTCGGAGTTGCCAAAATGAAATAAAATTCTATATTTGTCCCATAGGGGGTCATTCTAAATTTAGTGTTGTGCAAATTCAAAAGGAGAAATAATAGCGCTTATAACATCAAACAGATCTACTCTTTAAGATAATAGATCATATAATAATAAGATAATAATAGAATAGAATGAAATAGTCTGGAGCTATAATGTCATTGGATTCGAGGAGCTATAGGTTGAAGTGTCAGAATAAACAATAGTAATAATAGTTAGACTAGTGAATAATCAAAATAGTTCTATTGTGGAAATAAGTATCAATAAGGTCAAATTGTTCTAATAACTAAAGTAAAAAAGGAATCAAATGGAGTCAGATTTTAGATGTTTCTGTTTTCCACATCTGTAGGAATTAGTGCAGATGTGTTTATAGAGAGTAGTATTAAAATGCAGACATAGAACGACAGGCTTTAACACAATTTTAAATCTAAAAATAGCTCAAATATAACATTGCTCTTGACGCAGCCTCTGAGCTGCTCCATTGGAGAACAGGTTAAATGTTATTGTTTATTACAAACAGCTGATGTATTTACACACATTAAGTTTGGGACAACTCTTTAAACAGTTATAAGCAGCGGACAGAAGCCATGAATGTGCTTTTGTTTATTAAATAATTAATTTCATAGCCTTATAATCGTAGAGAACGTTTTAAAATAGTTAAAATCCCTTTCAGGCAACTTGATTTAGATGTATGTCTTTAATATTGGAGAACGACTGTGTTGTTTTTGGAATTGTCTGAAATACAATACATAGAATAGTGATTTGCAGAACAAGAACCGGCCAATAAAAAATCGTCTATTGCCAATGCAATTGTTACAATCAGAACTCAAAAATTGGGAATATGCCTTTGCTCAAGCTGCAACCGAGTTTTAGAGTCACAATAGAGTGTAAAATAGATAGATGCTTTCAAAAATAGAGATTATTTTTAGACAGGGCTAATATCAAGCGGTAAAAGGACCATTTCCTTCATATTATGTCCAAAAGTATTTACTTCAAAGGTAGATGAAGTTCATTACAGTTTATGCACAGGTTTATTAGATACTGTCAAATTCGCTTGTTTCAAACATAGGTGAATGTTAACAATGCCAAAAGTTAATGAGATAGATTAGAAACAACAGAGATTCAAAAACATTTAAAAGCAGTTTAATGTATTTGGGTATAGCGCAAAAGTAGATATTTAGGTATTTTTTGAGAATTTTAAGAGCTGTCGACTTGTCAATATGGATTAGAAAATCGAATACCATGGTAGAGTAACTGACCCCAAAAACCTGCTAAAAGAGATTAGCTCTTGTACGGATAATACCAATTTGATTAACGATGTACATTTATCCCAAACGGTCTGAGAGGAGGAAGTGACAGCACTTCCTGGTTCAACAAAATGTGTTTGGAAAAATGAGCAAAGCCCCACAAAATGGCACAGAGCCACTGATAATGACAGCAAACCACAGTATAGATAGATTTATTAGATAAAAACATATGTTTAAGAATATGGCTCAATAAAAGCAAAGATGCAAACATATTGGTAAATAGATTAGAATAGTTTAAACTATAGTGAATAGTTTTAGTGCATACATTACAGACGAGGTTGAAGAAGAATCAGAATGACAGCAGTGGTCATCAAAGAGTTTAGTGAAGGAATGTTTCAATGTGGTTGTGTGTTGTTTGTCTTCCTGTATTAACTCTTCACAGATATCGAGCCAGAACTAGAATGATGGAATCTCCCCAGTCCCGTCACCCAGAAGGGATATTGAAAGATTGTGACCTAAATTGGTTTAATATAGGTCAACAGAGGGGAACTGTTGTATATTTTAAATCTACACTATTCAGATGTGACAATATTTGACCATTTGAACATCATAGCCAAAAAAAGACCTCTGTGCACTCAGGAAAAACCCCAAGGACACAAGAAGTACGAGAATCATAAAGGAGGACCAGCTTACAAAAGCCAGACAATTATTGACTCCCAGAATAAACACATGTGTGGCAAATTTGACCTATGGATCCCCCGCAGCCCCCTCCCGCAGCAGCTGCGTTTACACAGGCGCCGCACGGGTGGGGGCATTGTTTGCTTAAGCAGAGACCAGACCAGTCTCAGACCAGAGACCAGTTTCAGACCTGTGACGTCATCGGACCCTGGGCACAGGACCTCCCTGATACGACACGCCCCGTGCTCCCTGAACATAATGCTCTGGCTTGGGAAGAGACGAGAGAAATCAGCCGAGGGCCAGGAGAGGGACATATTAGTTAGGAGCACCTTTTTGTTGAATATTCTGTATCTGATTGTAAAGATAATTAAATGCAGATGTTAAACTTGGATATCTTCGTCTGATTTCTGTACCAAATTGTGGACACGCCAGCCAAAGGGAATTATTGGCTTCAAAACACAGTAATGATAGACTACTACTATTGCCACAGCTGCCCTGGGGCACACTGACAGAAGCCAGGCAACCAGCATGTACGACCACCACCAACCATTCACACACACACCACACACACACCACACTCAAATGCCTTGCCTAAAGCCACTACGACAGTTTGGCTCTTTACAGCTGCAGCCGCCCAACTGTGGCACCTGGTGTTCTAAAAGGTCTCCCATCACAGTCCTAACCAGGACCTGCCCTGCTTATCTTCAGAGGCCTGACACAATCTGGCTTTCACATGCAGGTGTGGCCACAGGTAAGGGTGTAAAATCCTCCCCACAAACTTTTCTAACCACCTGAACTCACGACTGCTGAACCTGTTCCCTGTCTAAGCGCTGCTGCAGCTGTCAAAAGCTGTTTTCCCAACAAAGCTGTTTGTAACACAATTCATATTTACATCCTCACACACGCACTCCGCCATTGTGCCCCCCTCAGTACTCAAAAGGCCACCCAGCCCCTCCCCCGGGTTTTACTTACTTTCTTTGGCAATCGTCTTTTCTTTATGATTTCTATTCTAACATTGTTTTAGCTCAATATAAAGGTTTAATATCTATGGACATCTTGTAACAGTCATAGACATCGGTCGTCTGTCCCTTATCGACCAATGGATTTCTATGCTTGTATTTCCTGTGTTTGAACAGTTTGATTCTCTGATGTGAGTTAGAGAATTGACAGCTTTGTAAAGTCCTTCGAGATAAGTTCTGTTGTGATTCTCGTCTATACAAAAATGAATTGAACTGAATATGCCCTATACCCTCTAGGAATGATCACCTTATAGAGGAGAGTATGGGTTATGTACGTCCCCTTTAAAGAAACATACTGTGCCTCATGTTCCAATTAGAGGCTTTAAAGGTTCTTTTAAAACAACATTAACAAACATAAGACAAAATGAACTTTCTACATTTATGTTCCAATTACAGCTTCATTATTCCATCCATCCAAACACATTTACATCCACTCCCCTACCCAGAACACAGACATCACACCCATGTCTAAAACCCTGCCTCGATATGAAATAGTTCACCACAGCGATAGCTCCAGACAGCTTTTAGAACACACACACACACACACACACACACACACACACACACACACACACACACACACACACACACACACACACACACACACACACACTACACCCTGCCTTTTCTCTTAATACCTCTAATATTCCCTGTTCCCAAAATGCCAGCGTACGCCCTCCTGCGTGCCCTCTGCTGTCTGCGCGCAGGGTTTCCAAATCTCTGCAGGGCGCGGAACAGCAAAGTGGCACAGCGAAGTGGCACAGCGAAGTGGCTCACTGCGGCGGTGGAGAGAACGCGAACGGCAAAAGCAGATGCATTATTAAGGAAGGAGGTGAGAGGGTGCAGACACTACATGCATAATACAATACGTTATGTGAGCCGCGCAGCTGACTGGCACTGCGCAGTCACCGTGGTCAAGCTGGAACTCATTTGCGCGGCCCTTTTCCTGCTCCTCAAGTCCACGCCGTAATGATTTCAGGAAGAATTGCATTTAAGATGATTGCTTATTATGCGCTGGAGCCTTCAGAAGTGAGTGGCGGTCAGGAAAGAGTGCAGGCGTTTAAGTCGCTTTCAAGCATACGCGCCCAACCGATCCGTATTCAAAGCATGCTCTCCCAGGCTCGTCATTTCCATTTATTTCAATATGACAATGACTCGGAAAGACAGAGAGTTTTGAAGATAGTTATAAGAGATAATGTGATCCGGGGAAAAAAACACAAAAATTGGGTCTAATATTTTGTAGGAAGATGGAAAGTGTCCAATCTTTGAATTTTGTTGTAACCTTTGCCTCAAGATTGCTCCATTAAGAACGGTCACTCTGCCGCTCCAGACAAAAAACTAGGCCCCGAAATTCAAATCGTGTAAACTTATGCGCATATTTAATGGAGGTGAATAAAATGAGTTTAGTCAAGTCACTGCGATTTTATAGTTTTTCTTTGCCGATGCAGGAGGGTCCAGTGGAGGGGACAGTGATGGTCCAGGACACTTGACATTCAACCACATTTACGGACATTGGTCATCTTGTAAAGTCCTCAGAGAAAGCTACTGTTCTGAATGTTTGGAATTATATATCTGTTGCTGTGGGGCAGCACTATGGCGCATTTGTGAGCACAAAAAGCAGGCCCTCCTGGGTTCAATTCCACCTCAAGGCCTTTTTGTGTGGAGTTTGTATGTTCTCCCTACGTCTGTGCAGGTTTCCCTCAGGTGCTGCATGTTTCCTCTACCACAATAAACATTTCAATTCCACCCCCTCTCTCTGGGGCCAAGACTCTCCTGAAAAAGTGATTCTGCAATCTCAGTAGAACTTTCCTGGTTAAATATAGGTCAATAAATAGTGCCCACTGAGCTAAATAAATGAAGCAGGGATACGGAAAGGTGCAGTAAGGTGAAATTACTCCCTCTATTTCCAATTTCCAAAGTTCAATCAATTTGCGTCTGATAATAGAAGAGTGTTCACAAAACTAGCTTTACATTATTTGGCACATATAAAATAACATTAAAACATAAAAGACAGCCTAAGGCTGGGTGAAATGGGGAAAAACGGAAACAGCTCATTTAAATGTATAGAGCTCCTAAAGGATTACAGAAGCTGACATTGCAAATATAAATTATATATAACGTTCCATGTTAATACCGAATGACCGAAGGTTGAGGACCACAGCAGGCAAAAATGTGAACACTATTTTTGCTCTGATTAATGTAAAAAGGGAAAATGAAATTAACTTCCCTATATCTAGATGCATATCATGGCAGGATCTGAAAGATACCCGGCCCTGTATCACAGGGTCCAGATGGCCCTATGTTTATCCTTTGGCTCAGAGGGCAACATACAGTTGTTTAGTCCTCAGGTCTCTGCTCTGGCTTCCTGTGGCTCAGACAATAGACTTTGAAGCAGCTCTGCTTGTGTACAAGTCTCTCCATGGCCTCGCACCAAAGTACACCCTATATGAACCAACTACGACTCTGAGGAGCACAGGGACTGACCTCCTGCTGCTGCACAAAGTCAGGGTTAAACATAAGGAGGCAGCGTTTCAGGTGTATGCCCTTTAGGATTTGGAACAGTCTTCCTGAAGACGTGCGGACAACCTCATCGCTGGCATTCATTTTCTTTTCGAAATCCACTGAGATTGCGAAATATCTTTTTCAGGGGAGTCCACCCCCAGAGAGAGGGGGTGGGAGTATGTGTGTTTTAGGGGATTCTTATAAATGTTTTTTGTGTAGGGGAAACAGGAGCACGCAGACACAGGGAGAACATGCAACCTTTAATACAGAGTTTTATTGGATTTAGTGTTGTTTTCTTTTTATATTTGTCATATGTTTGATCATGTTTGTAAATGTGTACAATTCGATGTCTTTGTAAAGCACTTTAGGTTGTACTTCATAAATAAACGTGACTGATATGTAGTGAGGAGTTAAAGTCATTTCCGGTCTGTACACACTGCAACTAAACAAGTGGCCTGCATTTGAACGCCTCGTGTGTCGGCCATGTTTTATTGATAGCTGTGATGCAGCAGTAGTAGCAGGTTACAGAAAGCTCATTTCTGGCTGCATTTCCATTTCAATTTTATTCAATTTATTCTTGAATAGCCCTAAATCACAACAGTAGTTATCTCGGAGGACTTTACAAAACCATCAAATTCCCCAACACAGATCAGAGAATGAAACAATTCAAACACAAGAAATGCAGATTTTTTTCAGATAAATTAGACATTAGTCAGATGGATGAAATGTATAGATGTTTTTACTCCATTCATGATCATATCAGCAGCGCAGGAAATAAACTTAGTCTCAACATCATTTTCAATGGCCAAAAATAATGCAAAATATGTCTTTTTGATCTTCTAATCATGTTATAACATTATTCCCTCATCAGTCATAGACATAGACTGTATATATTAATGGACAGAGTCACGCCTATCTGCGCCGTTCTAACTAATGGGCCAAAAAATGTGCTCTACTGGAGCAAACCAAAATGGCCGCGAGTGGTCCCGCCCACAAGAAAATTGTGAAAAAACGCATCTGCGCATGCGTCAGCCGGCGCAGCTTCATTCATTTGAACGAGAGACTTTCACAGCAAGTAAACTAGAGTGGACCAAAAAAATCCACCCCCCTCAGCATTGACACACATGTGGAACGGAGCTTTGGGCCAAGAGCCAACTTTTGGTCCATCCTGTAAAGACGTTTTTGAGAGGTCTGCCAATGCTATTTGTTAGAATTGGCTAATTCTACTTCTGGGTCCACCCCCATCGGCCCGGGGTGGTATTGCAGCATGTCAGCGCACGTCATTTTGGCCACTTTTGAGCTGGGACCCGCCCCCACTGGTCATAGACCTGTCTAATAGCTCCTGTAGTCCTCCTTTTAGTCCTGTAATAGTACCATTGTGCCTCTTTGACATCAAGAATCAAACATTTCACACACAAGAAATGCAATGATAAAAAAACTGAGCCAATTCTCCATAAGGGGCAGATGACCAATGTCCATAAATGTTGTTGAATGTCGAGTGTCCTGCATCATCACTGTCCTTGGACCGTCCTACAATGGCAAAGAAAAGCTCTTTCACATTCTGCAGATGATGTCACATGTAGATGGAGATAATTTCACACAAAAACAGCTTTTTAACGGGAAGAAGAGCCTGGACATGGAGCGTATCCAGGAGCAGAGGCCACACTCCCACACGCGGCGACTAGTTTGCATATACTGTATCGAAGTAATGAATCTAAATGTGTAGATAGCACTTGTACAGCCCAGCATCCTCAGGGAATCCCAGCTCTTTTTCCTCCCGTTTTCCTAATTACTACAGAGAAGAAAGAGCTATGAATGCATCACAAAATAGTTCATAGCAGGGACCCTCTGAATATGGTAAATGAGGTGTTACAGATTCATCTATAATAGAAAAGACTTTACTTTAAAATGGATGAAACTCATAGAAGTACAATTTGTTCAAATCATTTGCAAAGTGAATGTAATGAGAGTTAGGGAGTGCTATTTGGTTCTTTGGTGAATTAATAATATGTCCCAGTGAGAATATGCTGTAAACACACAATTTGATGTTTTAAATAAGACTCTGCTATTATAAATATGACTGTTGTTGTGAGAAAAGCCATTAGTGCAATCCTAATGTGGCTAAGGGTTGGGTTAGGGTTGAAGTTAGGGTATTTATAGGTTTACATTCCCTGGAATCATAATCTACTTGATGGTCCTTCAGATAATACAAATGACATGTGATGTGGTTATGGAATGATTCCATTTTGAGAAAAAATGGCAAAGCAAGTTTATTTGTATTGCACATTTGTCTTTAAGTGTTTTTAAACTAACCAAATGATGAGTCTGCACACAAACAGCTGTGAACGGCTTCTAAAAGTATCCATCCCTAATGGATGACATCACCACAAACCAAGTGTCATTTTTGAAAAACTTTTCTTTTCCAAATAAATGAGATTTTCTGCTAAAATAATTCAAAAATAACAAAAAATAATGGCATTCAAACCAATTAGACAGCCCTTGATATTAAACTGGAGTGATTTTTGTGTGTATACAGACAGTCATGCTTAGATAAATTATCCTGTTTTAGTCATAATATTGTTTTTATCCGTACGCACAGGCCGTGTGGACGTTCTACTGCCTGCGCCAGATGATACACGCTTATTTGTTAGAAAAGTGAAGACAGTATTTGATTTCCTGCGTGCACTGCCCTCTGGTGGACATATATATGGTCAGTCCTGTAATAGTGTGACGTCATTGAAACACTATTCGTGTGTTCGTGTTACACGTGTCTGCGTAGGTTTCCTCCGGGTGCTCCGGTTTCCCCTACCACTAAAAATATGTACAATAGGTCTGGCATGTGCCTCCTGTACTGGCACCCCCACTCCCAAAAATAACAAATGTAAACCGCTTTGAGACTCCGATGTGCAGTGAAAAGGCGGTATATAAATAAAGATTACTTACTATGACGTCTCACTCAGAGCGGTTTTCTTCCTTTAAAAACAAATTACTGATTATGGCTGTGTTGCAGTTGATAATTTACTCATTTGGGAAAAAAACAAATTCAACTCCTTCCTCTGGTGGCAGGATAGGGAATTGCAGGCTGTAGCATTATTAACTCTTCATGCTTTTTTCACCATGTATTTTCAACCTCATTTCAATTAGTTTGCATTCTAAAACATGAAAGGAAAAGTAGATAGTCTGTATATCATTTTAATGGACAAAAATAATGTGTCTCCTTCATGCACAAGTGAAAAAAAAACATAAAACCAAAGGGTAAACTGGTCCAACTAGACTGAACACATACTCTCTGTCACGGTGTGTGTGGTGTGGACGATGACAGGGGACAGTTCATCATGAGCCTCCTGAGGTCCTCTGTCAAAGCCTCCTCTCTCCTCATTGCTCTTCATGTCTCCCGCTCCGCAGAACACTACACATGTCCCGGTTAGTGTACGTGTGGAAGCAGACTGACAAACCAAGGGAGACTCC